TAATTTCATTCAGAAACAAGAAATCAAACACCATCAATAAAACAGCAGAGGAACATAATTTTGATCCAACTAAACTAGCGCTGCTCTAATAAATGTTACTTCAAACATTACCATAAAAAAAGTTTCCTGCATAACTGCTATGAAAACTGCTATAAAAATAACCTGTCATGCCCGTACTCGCCCCCCTGTAAAGAGCAAAACCACATATTTCACAGGACAGGGATTTTTTGTACAGCCACTGCTGCTTAGGAGGTCAAATTCAAAAAAGAATTACTTATCCAAAGCCCTAAAATAAAGCAAAGTTTCTGAAGAAGCATCAAATCAAGGAAAAAAAAAAATCTGTATCTCCTTTTTGTCAAGTGTAAGGAAAGCACCAGGCACCATTCACCAGCAGCAGTCACTTTCAAGACTGTTGATTCTTTTTTTGAGCTCGTTGCAAAGTTTAATGTGAAACATAAGGTAACAACACATCTACCAACATGAAGAAGAAACAGGTCTCTGAAAAGTCTTGAAGCAAAATAATTCCTTCTGTGCTTATACATATTCACAGCCCTGTTGAAATGCTAAAGTAGTCACAGGAATTTGCATTCCTAAAGCAGCCAGCATTTCCACAGGAACAAGGATTACTAGCTAAAGTTGTAACATGGACTTTAACATTCCCCTGTATATGTCCTTCAGAGGTAATCTGGATCTGCATTTAGGTGTTTTTCCCAAGAAAATCACATTTGTTTGTTTAGTAATTAGAAAACACGGCATTTTAGTGTGTTGTGAATTCAAAATGTCTTCCAATCCCACAATCTTTTTTCCTTCCCACAGTATTAATGCAAATCGTTTCCTCAATAAAGCTGCAAAAGGTTAATTTGTCTACAGAGCCCCATGACCAGGAAAACACAGATGTGACAGTGCTCACCACACCAGCGTGAGGAATTGTCAAAACACGATGGAAAATACCCCAAAAACCTGGAAGTGCAATTGCTTCCCCTTGGAGATCAGGCGGGGCAAGGCCACACCTTGAAACGATAAAGCGCGGCCTACACCACAGAGCTGGGCCCTGAACGCTGCTCAGAACCACAGATAAAGGCAACCTACCCACAGCGACCTGAGCAAGGGAAACGGAGTGACACAGTTCAGAGCTTCCTAGAAGACTTTTGGCCCCGCCAGTAGGCAAGGAAATACTCCTGGGCAGCTCTGGATGGGGGTAGAATTCTGTTGAGAAAATGGGTAACTGCCTATTTTGTATTCTTAGTTAATGACAAATCTTTATTTTGCAGCTGTATTTATTTTTACTCCACCTATTTTCATTTGCAGAGCACACCAATGAGACTTTTGCCACTAGCTTTAGAGGCATGATGTTTACTTCCTACTGAAATGAGAGCAAAGATTTAAATACCTTTATAAATACAGGATATAAAGCAGCGTTGGGATTGTTATTTGAGATATTTTAAATACATTTTCATCAGTTAATAAAACACAAGCACACAAATGCCACCACTTTCTGTACCATCAGGTAGAAGACAGAGGTTGGGACCACCTCCAGCTCAGTTCTTGGGGACCTTCTCTGCTTTAAAGTCCTGCTGGCACAGAGAATGTCACAGCTTGTGGATGCAGGCAGCCCCTTGCTCCCGCTCATCTGTGGCACAACACAGTTGACTAATTAATTTTTTAAAGTATTCAAGATGCGACACATACATGGGATTGAATACAGATTAGCATTATAATAATCACCAAGCTTTTGTAGCCTCGAATTTGTCTTCTTGCGGCGAAGTTCCCTTTAATGTGCAAATGAACGATGCCACTACGTATCTGGAAATAAACAGGCTCATTGTGATGGTGGCTTGTCACAAACACAGGCATTCAGGGTTATATTAACAGCACACAGGAGGCTGGCAGAGAAATAAAAGATCCATGCCCAACTGCCTGGTGCCACATCCTGAGCCATCCCACCAGTGGCATCCTGGGGTGGGGGTAGGAAAATCTCCCTCCCCACAAATGTTTCTGGGTGTGAGTTGTCTCCACGAGTTGCTTTTCAGGCCCAGTTATAAAGACAGGATATGTTTGCCAAACTGAGTCAAAAGAGAGCAAAAGGGACATGAAATCGTCTCAAAACTTCAAAGCCAGCAGAAGCTGAGAGAGAGGTTCAGAGGAGAGATGGCCCACACAGCAAAATGCAAAGGGAATGGGGAAACAGGGAAGTGAGCTGGCTGGAGTATTCAAAACCCTGACAAGAACTGTAAAATAAAGGGGAACAGAATGGTTGATTTTTGCTTTTTTTCTTGAAATTTAATTTTTTACCTTTCAATTTTTCAGATTAAGTGAATGAATGAGTCTGGAGTCACCTCACACATCACAGGCCCCACTTCACACACACCAAAAAGGACCAGCATGTCCCACAGGAAGAAATCCTTCACTGGCTGTGGGCAGGCCCTGGCACAGGGTGCCCAGAGAAGCTGTGGCTGCCCCTGGGTCCCTGGAAGTGTCCAAGGCCAGGCTGGACAGGGCTTGGAGCAGCCTGGGACAGTGGGAGGTGTCCCTGCCATGGCAGGGGTGGCACTGGATGGTCCTGAAGGTCCCTTCCAACCCAAACCATTCTGGGATTGGTGTGCTTGGCAAAAAGGGCTGCTCCTGGTAGCTGTTGGTAAACAAGAACATTCCCAACAGGATGCTCAGAGCCAGGGCAGTTAATTATAGGGTTTGCTTTACAGAGAGATACAGAATACAGCTCAGAAATAGATGGTCCTTTAGAAGGATTTAGGGAGATCAACGCTTTGTCATCCATCAAGGAATGCACACAGGATATTTTATATCAACATCTACGTAAGATGTTTCCAAGAATAATGAGTGCACAATATTTTAAAAACAAATTTCACGCGCTTTTCTGACAAAATGTTGTGGACTCGTGGTGTTAATTTTAGCAGTTTCAGTTGGATTTGGTATGGTTGGAAATGCAAGGGGAAATCTGCAGTAATCAGGATGTGACACTCATTAACACTTTCACAAAATACCCACTGGATTTGCATAAACTCTGCAAAGATTCATTGGTGAATCTTTAATATGAGATTTCCCTTGGTTTTACTCCACATTCAGCTCCATTTGCCCTCCCTCTCTCCTCTCCCCTGCCAGCGAGAACTGCTGTAAACAGCCCATAACAAAGCACAATAAAATGTACTGGAAAACTAAAATATACTTGTAATTACCCCAAAGCCTATATAATTGCATATATAATTTCATAAATTGCAAATATTTTTCAAGAAATTCTTCTGTAAGGGAGAGAAATACTAATTGGATACAATGGCTTGATAGAGTGGCACTCCATTTAATAAATCTGGAGATGCACAGGCAAGTTCTTTAATGACCTGTGTATAAAACCCATCCATGGCCCAGCTTGCAGACAGCACAGTATTTGCATGCAAAATAGCAGGAAAAGAGCCTAGGAAATGGATAAACCAGGCAGCAGGAGGTTTCTGGTCCTGACACATTATTTAAGAAAATGTCACTTTAAGGGAGACAATTCCTGCTACTCCCAATATCGTAAATGTGGTGATAATTAAATATAAAAAAAATAAATCTGGGTCATTTAAGACTTCTTTGAGAAAGACACCCTTCTCTAGAGTCAGTATTTGCCATGAGTTTTTAGCTGAACTATCCAGGACCTACTGGATTACACTGACTACATCAACATGGGCTACTGCAGCAGACAGTCCAATATGCAATGGGAAGGTCACAATGGAAAAAAAATTATCTTCTCTTTTCAGCTATTTAAAAAAGAGCAGGTTTAAAAATTCTCATTCTGCTGCTAAAAATGCTTTTTGCTTACTTTTGGTTCTAAATAGGAATCTTTTATGGGAACTGTTAGGAGTTCAACATTAATAGGTTAAGTTTAAGTAAATTTAGGATAAGATTCAGAATAAAATTTTCAATTCAATTCAATTCTTCTCCCTGTCCTAAATTCCTGCAAAGAGACATAAATGACATTTAATTTCTGGTGTGCTGTACTCCAACCCAACCGTTTCTGTGAGAGCCTAAGCTTTGAAATGATTTGAACTATGTACCTGCATAGAACGGCTGCACCAGACAATACATTATTTCACTTGCTTGCATTTTGAGCAAATTTATTGACTGAGAGTCTCATTTCATTGCTCCTATTCAACACATCATTATCTCTGATATCCCACAAGCACATGAAAGAATTTTCTAAAGGAAAATACAACCTAAGTGTGAGGGCCAGGATACATTCCTGTATTTTATTTCTGGTTAAACTCTCAGGCTCAGATCGCCTTTATGTCTTGTTCACTCCTGAGTAATGGAAGCAGGCTGGGGAGAAAAATGAGTATAAGTGGTTTTATTTGTCTTGTGGAATCTTTTTAAAAGATAAATTAGAACATCAGAACTTGGGTATTTTTTTTTTTCCCCCTGCTGAAAAACTGTGAATTGTGCTGAGGTCACTTGAAGTGTAAATACTCTGAGCACTTTTCATTTGGGTTTTCATTTAAAAAAAAGTAATCTCAAAGTGGAACAAATTTTTTTGTTACGGTTTAGTAAGCAGAATTCTCAATCCGATGCTTTAATGTTCCCAAAGCACAACTGATCACAAAGCAACAGCAGATCTTGGTAAGTAAAATCTCAAATTTTTTTCTCTGAATCAGAATTACCCATTTCCAAGGCTTACCCACCACAAGATTAATTTGTACCTATCAAAAAGCACTAAACTTGTGAGATAATTTTGGTAGTCACAATAGCAACAGCACCCTCTGTGCCATTCCTCCAGGGATTCTCCTTGCTGGCTGCACAAGTGGATTGTGAAAGCAGCAGAGCACCCTGGCACTCCTGGCTTAGGATTGTGAGGGTTCCACCCAAAACTGTAGAGCAAGAAAATGAATATATCAAAAATGAATAAATCAGAAAGGCATTAGAGGCTTTCAGAGTGTGCTAATGACACGTGAACCCCCTGACCCTGTGACTGAAGTGGTGGTGATTATTGGACAACCACTGGGAAAATAAGCTGTTAGAAAATAAGAAGTCTTTACTTTTATTTCACCAACTCAAATGGCACAATAAGGACTCTTTTGAGCACAATATATTGTTCATGACAGGCAAGAAAAGCAAGTTCATCAGGTGTTTCCTTTCTCATTTCTCTGTATCAATGGCAGGAATCTCAAAACAAGTGCATGTCACACCATCCCTCACAAGAGTGGAGTAAAACTCAGATGGACAGCTCCTTTCTGCCCTGCAGGGGTCAGGGATTGCAGGGAGAGAAACAAATTCCAGGATGGAAAACCTTGAAAAGGAAGAAGACACAGTGTATTCTGCTGCTTCATAACTCCCTGAGCCTGGATATAGTGGACATTTTTGATGGCTCAAAAGGATGGGGTGCACAGAAACTCAGGAATAACTGAACTGTGAATATAATTTACATTTCTATGACTAAAAGGTGATACCTGGTTGTCTACAGCAATTGCATCTAGACATAACTTAGAAACTGGGTGCCAGAAATGTTACCCTGAGGAATCTGTACCAGAATGGATGTTTTAAAATGCAGACAGCATGGGAAAACTGACATTTTGAGGGCTGACAGACTGTCCTGGGCACGGAGCTGGGCTGGAGGCTGGGCAGATGTGTGTGGCAGGCAGCTGCAGCTCCCTGCTCAGCCAGCTGAGTCCTCCCAGGAGCGATGCTCAGGCACACAGAGGTGTGGCTGGCTGGGGCAGAAATGCAAACTCGGGCTCCTCAGGGACAAGTTGGGCCACCGAGGCCACGAGCATTTCTGCCCCCTCCCAGTGGCAGAGAATGAAAGCTCATTATTTGAACACTGAGAGCTCTTCAGCCTGATACTGGAATAAAGACACAGCACACGGAGCTAGAGCTGGCACCACAGGAAACTCGAGATTCCAAATGAGGAGACAGAAAATGCCACTTCCATCATAATATTGTACCCACATCCCTGCTCCAGACACCAGCTTCCACCAAACATGCTTCTCCAGGGAGATCTTTCTTCTTGAAAGCACACAGAAAGGCAGCACTACCATTCCATTCTAGTGTCAGTGGGTTTCCCCTCCTGGTGTTAGAATTATTGCTCCTACCACATGCCACAACTCCTAGTGTCTTCTGAGGTTCACAGAATTTCACTGTCCCTCTCTTCTCATAAGGAAAACCCTCAATCCCCCCATTCTGAAGGTAAATTGCAGGGCTGTAAAACACTACTGAGTGTTAATTTTACCTGGGAAACAGAATGGCATTCACACTCTGAACAGCACATAAGGGAAAGAGTAAAAACTCAGGACACAAGTCAGGGCAACATATTCCACATTGACTACAACTGGAAAAAAATCATTTGTGGATATAAAATTCTGAATGAAAATTACAGTAATAATAAAACTGCAAGTCAACTTTTTACTGCATTGCAATAAAATATTACTCAAAGCTTCAGTATGTCATATCTCATTCTAGTGGAAAGTCAAAAAGAAAGAACAAAAATATTTAGGAGGTTATTCTTTTAGTTATATATATGTGATATATCTATATTTTTATATTTCTATGTCTAAAAAATCACAGAAATGTTCACAAACTAATACATTTGATGAGACTTTTAAAAGAAATACAGTTCACCATTATTCCATCAATGAGGCAGAGAACCCAAGAAAAACAAGTGATCCAAATGCTCACCTGAATGTCTGCTGCACTGAATAAACATTACATATATATTTGTATACACATATATTTTATTTAATTTTATATTTTATTAATTATTTTTAATTTTAATATTTTAATGTACTAACAATAGATAAGCAAGTACAACCTGATTGTGATTATTTGGAACATAGAAAAGTACCAGAGATGTTTTGAATGGCAATGCCAGGAACAATGGTCAGGAATATTCTGGAAAATAATTTTTTTCTGTTCACAACAGGCTGGAAGGCTCTGACTGCCAGGGCTTTGGCAATAAAGTGCCATCACCTTTTAATAAAAGGTAGGGAAGAGTAAGGCTTAATTTACAACAGAAAAGAAAATTTCCTGCATGCTCGTGGATTGTCACACATAATTAAGGCTTTTTTGTATTATTCTGAGAGCTGTGGGGTTTGGGTGATTTCATTAATTGAACTCATAGTAGGATGATTTTTGGGATACCACTTAAAAAATCTATTTTTATTAACTTCCACACCTAGAGAAGGGAGTGACCATCACATCACCTCTGCTCTGGAAGTTTTATTATTTCATGCCAACTTCACACAGTGACTTCAGCTGCTCCTCATGACACAAATGCCTTCCAAGTGTCACCCCTACTCTGCAGATTTCCCAGCACAGCTCCTCTTGGATATTTAAATGGTTGCTCCATTTACATCCTTAAAACTTACCAGTATTTCAAGAGAACATAATATTCCATATTTCTTTACATTTTTATAGCTACACATCACCCCAAGCAAATAAACTGTGTTTTCTAACCTGTAGAGTTATGCAGTATTTATTGGAATTGTCAAATTCATACTGTTATTATGAAAGCATGAAACAACAAATGTAAAATTAAAACTCATCATTACCTTGAAATCTGGCATGAAACCTGAAACTAAATTAAATCTAATCTAAATGCCAAAACCAAGGAGAAGAAAAACACCACCAAAGAGAGAACTCAGATTCTCATTCCTATTTCCTATTCAATTTGTTTGCATATTTGCAAACAGAAGACCTAAAAAAGGTACCTGAACAGTCACAGCTGAATCACCTGGAACAGTGAGAGGCTGGCATGTGCATGAAGGCAAACATCTTCCCATCAAAGACTTTGAAAAGAATCTAAATCTACTCCAAATGCAGGCTTGGAGAGCTGTTGAGAATGCAGCAAGATTTAATTCTCTGGATGAATCTTATACCATATACTGATCAAGACCAATAAAATTGCACAAAATGGGATCATTTTTACCATAACCAAGGAGACATGAAATCACTTGCCTGGGCACAACTCAGTAACAGCTGAACTACTCCCCATGCACCTGCACACAGAGGCAGAAGTGCAGACAGCTACAACTGCAAGCAGATTTTAAGAATTCTGTGAAAACATTCATTGAAACGTGGGGAAAAGTTTGCACAAGTTTTCAGTGCTGAGCTTGACAACAGAAGCTCAATGAAGAATCAAACCAAACTATTTTTTTCTTGCAAAATGGGGCAGGATGTCATTTGATTCAAATCTGCTGCCCCAATTATTTGGTCATTAGAACCATTCATCATTCCAGGCATCTTTATACACATTTCTGGGCCCACATCAAAGAAGCCAGTCTACCATGTAGAACACTGGAAATCAAGTTTTCCCAGGAAAGACATTTTTATTTCTGCCAATTCCAGTATATAAATCTTCAAATAATAATAATAAGCTCAGTAAATTTCATGCAGCTGGAAATGACTCAGATAAGCAGAAATGGCAGGCCTTCAACACAGAACTGACAGGCCAAGCAAAGGAGAGGACAAGTGGAATGACAGCCTGAGTCACAGTGTAAATCAGCACTGAACTATGTGAGAACTCTGCAGGATACCACCAGAGATGGTTGTTGGGCTGGAAAGAATAGGGCTGGAAAATAATTGCCTGAAGACTGAAGAACACAGGCTGGAGTACAAAGATTTGAACAGACTGAAGGAAATAAGAATGGAGCTAGGAAAGCCAAATAGAAGCTCACAGACTAACCCAGAAAGGAGTCCTAGTAGCAGGAGCACTGTCACAGGTCAGGAGCAGGCAATGGATTCTGGATTCTGCTGTGGAATCCTGAAGGTGAGGGCCCAGGTGTGTCCCCAACACTTGTAGCTGGGTGCCCAAGGGGCCAGCCAAGGGCTGTTGGCAAGAACAAGACGTGGAGTCAGCTCATCTCTCATGATCTGAGATAGGCTATCAAATCAAGTCCTCTTCCTCCACTGAAAATCAGTCTTTAAAAAAAGCTTCTACAGAATGTGGGCTCTCCCCTGAGCACAGAAAGGAAATGTGTGCAGTAAGAGCTGTGAGCTGCTCCCTGCAGACACAGCCCTGCACTTCAGCAGAGCTCTTCTGCTCAAGGTCTTACGGCAGGTCTTTCACTGAAGTGAAATATAAATTGGGAACTGTTGTTGATACTAATTTCTTAGACACTTATAACTAAATTATCCACTAGAGAGCACAGCAACATTTTCAAACACATTCTGCTTATGCCTGCAAGTGCCAAGTGAGGTCCTTGTGGCACTCAAAGTCACTCTCTACACAAGAAATATGCTAAACAATCTGCCATGCACAGCAGAGATAAGGAATGGACTCAATACAAGGCTTGAACGAGAAAAGGTCAACAGACCATGAACTTTTAATGAACAAATTTCAGCTGCTCCCAGCCTGGTGTGCAGCTCTTGGACATTACTGATGGAATAACTTCTTTTGCATTATACACTTTTGTGTATAAATATATAACAACATACAACAGAAACAGAAAATACATCCTTCCTTCCTGCAGGAGAAAGCCTGAGCAGCACAGCTCATCAGAATTTTGAGCTGCTCTGCTTCCTGGGCTCCAATATATTCTGGTGATGTCATGACTTTTTTACTTTCCATTAAAGAAAACCTTTCATCATTTATGATTTCCCATTCTAATGAGCATCCTGAAAAATCAGCTATTGTTTAAAAATGTAAATAAAGTATTCTTCAGTTTTGCTGTATTTTTACTGTTGCTGAGGACAAAAAGAATATAATCCATATAAAGTACTCTGGAATTTCTGCTTTAAAATATTGTTTAAAACTGCTGTATTCCCACAGGCCTTCATCAATACATTGACAAGGGTGTCCACAGCATGCAGAAATCTGAATTGCACATCTCAGAGCCACAGGGAGACAAATTAACTCTACCAGAGATCTTTGCTAAATATATTTTTTCTTCATTTTCCAACAAACCATTTGAGTCAATCATTGCTGTAAAAAGATTAACAGCATAGGGCATCTTGTATTCCCAGAAAAACACAGAACTTGGCATAGCTGATCAAATATGTGCAGAAGTGGATAGATTCAGACACTGGAAAAAAAAAAGTTACTGAAAGTATTTGAGTCTGAAATAAGCCACAGGTAAGAGAAATCTTGTCCTAAACAGCATCAGTTACTGCTTTATAATCTGGAGAAGAGGGGATTTATAGACATTTCTCATTTATGTTGGCACCCCCACGAACAGAAATGAAATTAGAAAGCTGACAGCTACTACAGAATGCAAAGAGAAGTGCTAAGGAAACATTCACTGTCCATGGGAGCTGGAAGCAGCAGAGTCAGCTGGGGGGACGCAAATCACTTGAAAACCATTCCTGCAAACAAAGAGGAGCAAATAGCAAGGTGGAGAAAACCCAAGCCAGCAAAAAGGGATGAACACAAACCACAGCAAAGGTGCTTTATGAGTATAAAGGCTGACGTGGATTTCCACAGCTCAGCTAAACAGGGTGTTGGAATATTGTATAGAACAGATTATCTAAGTGCTAAATGTAATATATTCCTAGAACCATAGAATGGCTTGGGTCAAAGGGACCTTCAAACTCATCTTGTTCCAACCCCTGCCATGGGCAGGGACACCTTCCACTCTCCCAGGTGGGTGCATTGCTTGAATCCCAGGCTTCTCCCTGTCCAGCCTGGCCTTGGGCACTGCCAGGGATGCAGGGGCAGCCACAGCTTCTCTGGACAACAGGGCCTCCCCACCCTCACAGGGAAGAATTTCTTCACAATTTCCAGTCTAAATGTCCTTCAGTTTAAGGCCAGTCCCCTTTGCCCCATCAATCAATACATGTCCACATGAAAAGTCCCTGTCCAAACAGTGCTGTTTCTTTGGGGTTACTCTAATCCACTTTCCATTTTCTTCAA